AGCTTTTTCCAATGTGGTTTTGCTCTAAAACAAAAACTTTTTTGTTTAAGCCAATCAAAAATTTATTCAGATTTGATTAATGATTTTTATATGACGTTTCACGCTTCATATTAATACGTCATACGTCAACCCCAGCATGTTGAACACAAATTTGAAGTGAAAATGCTTCAATTTAAGAGTGTAAATCGAAAAGTTTCAAGTTTTAACTAATTGTGCCGATAATGTTAAACGGTCCTAAAAGTTTGTCCGCTTTCAAGCTAGTGCAGAATTGTTGCATAAGTTCCGAATGAAGAATATCTTATTATAATGGAGCTTGCGATGTTTACGTCCGAAAATCGGATCTCAAAAACTACCGCACCGATCATCACCAATCATACCTGGGTAATATTTTTACAACTAGGCAATATCTTTATAGCTGAGCAATAAATATAACAATTGAAATTTCCAATGGTGTTTCAGATTCAACCAATAAACATTACAAAAACAGGAGTAAGTTTCAAATATAAAACAATCAAAAAACAAACTTTAAAAAATTGTTTGTTGTTGTTTAGTGAAAATCTCATGAGTGTTGCAACATAAAAGCAAGGCACTTTCATTGATAAGTGCGTCTACACAGAAACACTTCAATAAAATCTACTCTCTGATGTAATGCTGTGATGATAACTTATTTTGAAACTATTTTCTAATTGATGGTGAACATTATTGATTGTCAACTATGAGTACATTGTTGTAGAACAGTCAGACGATTCCAGAAAACACCGCAGGCCCAATAGCTTTCCGCAGGAACTAGCAGTTATACCAGCCCGGAGGGAAGGTATTTCTGCTAGTTGTTTAATTCTCGAGCTATACACGTGTAGGCTCGCACTGATCAACCTTTGTGAGGATATTAGGTACTGCGTCATAGAAACGTTTACCTTAACTTCAGTCTCGTGCGTAATTTCACTCGTGGCACTAGTATATTCTGACTGTTTCATTGATTACTTGCGATACTGCTGTTTCATATTAGTTCTGATGGTCTGAGAGATTACTAGCAGTACTAAATCCCAGCCCAATGACTCGATGAACACTTAGTTTCATATTAGTTCTGATAGTCTGAGAGATTACTAGCAGTACTAAATCCCAGCCCAATGACTCGATGAACACTTAGTTTCATATTAGTTCTGATAGTCTGAGAGATTACTAGCAGTACTAAATCCCAGCCCACTGACTCGATGAATTCTTAGTTTCATATTGGTTCTGATGGTCTGAGAGATTACTAGCAGTACTAAATCCCAGCCCGCTGACTCGATGAACAATTAAACTATAAAGAACGTTGCACCTGTACTTTATCCTAAATTCTAGGTTAAGTTCAAGTTTAAAAACACGTGACAGATGACGTCCTTGTATTGAGGAACAACAAAAACATCCCTCTTGATTGCAAGTGCTGAACTTTCAGCACGTGGTAGAAAATTAACACACCACGAAACTCTGTTACTATTCATATAAGTTGTATATAATAATGTGAACGTTGCAGTTAATTTAGAGACAGTTAACTTGGGCAGATAAAAAACTGATAATGCACTTGTCACTATTGGCGATTGAGGATTACATGATAATAAGAAGAGATTCTATATTGCATTACTTAGGCAATCAAAACATTACGCGCTAAATACGATTGAGTGACAGGCGCCACTGTTTTAGCTCGTGAAACATTACACATAAAATGAGTAGACAAATTATTATGAGTTCTACATGAATTATAATTTATAGAGAACTAGAATACATAATAAACTCTGCTGTAAATAAGAAATTACAACAGCAATGTATAGTAGAGACGGCTGATATGTGTATTTAAAAGACAAGTAACATCATTTGAACCCTTTTGAGTCATGATTATATATATCTATCTTTAGAAAACCCTTCTAGTGTCGTGGTAATGCTACGTTAAAAACAAAAGATCAAATAAATACAAGCAGACTGATCGATTATGACCTACGGAGGACGAAACGTTACTTGTTTTGAGTTTTAAATCAAAGTTTTTAATGCCCCTATCACCCGTCCCTACTATCTCCCATCGCCATGAATTAAAACGTCAACATACTGTCTAGCTCCGTGTCATTGGCCGCGATATCGATCCTCAACTTCACTAAATCTAGTGCACATTGTTCCGATATGCGTTACTGTTGTACAACTGAAACTACCGTGTGCGTGGCAAATATTCTGCTAATTTCCACATAAGTGCGTAAATTTTCAACGGAGTTGGATGAACTTATCGAGTGCTACATCTGTGTTCGTTTTAACTGACCTAGTAAAGTCACGAAGCATTAATATGGAAACAAAGTTTGTCTACGAACAAATACAAAAAAGAGAGTCAACCGCTGATATTGTGAGTATTTTTAAACAAAGCAAAGTGCTCTAGCCATTATTCTACTTTTGGGACTTTTTCATTCTTAAACTCTATAAAATCCGTTAAAATGAGCATATATTGCACTAACCAAGTTCTGCCAATACTAAGTGTTAATTTAATTTCAATCCCAGTCTCTTAGTGGAATTAAGGAGTTTGTGTAACAGTATTCTCGTAAAGTTTAATACGTATGGTAATAAAATATATATATGTTCAACATCAATTACAGATTGGCTAGTTTTAATAATCATACCAGTGTCAGAGATGTAACACGAAAAAAAGCTCTATTTTACCCTTGTTTAAAAATATAAATTTTATATTCATTGTTAATAAGGATTGGGAAATGCTAGTTGTTTGTGTAGTTAAAGAATCCTCAAGTATACAAGTAATGTTTTCCAAGATAATTATAGTGTTTTGTTGCCATAGCTGCAAACAACAACAACAAAACAAAAACAAAACAAGAAAACAAAACAAATGTGATTACTAACATTGTTGTATTTGTTTGTTGTTGTTTTTTCTGAAAACTACTAAAGCAGGTCATGAAACAAAGTATACGGACGAATCAACAAACTTATTGGGTTAGTGCTTGAAGAAACCACAGCTATTTAATTCAGACAAAGAAAAAATCCGTTTGTTTTCGAAAGAAATTAATATATACTGCTCCAGAAGAAAAAACAACAACGGGTCATTTTTTGCTGAACCATTGGTGAATATTAACACACAATCTGAACGTAATTGATGCAGTAAGATCGGTTCGGGGGTAGTTAATGTTTAGTATCCTTGGATTGTATATCCAATGGTTACCGCAAAATACTTGTTCCACACTTTAGGGCTGTTAGTGCGGTATAAGAGTGACGGTCAACGCCAACTATTCGATCAGAGACAAGACTGGTCCAAGAGTTGGCTCATAAGGTAATTAAACTATGTATTTCTCTCCACAATATTGTAGTGGTTTTGTGAGTTATTTATTAATTCATGTTAATTGTAGCTATGAATGGCCTGTTATTTCGGTACTTAACTTATGGTCTTCGTGCCATATATGTTTTGATACCATGGATAAGTCGGATGAGTAGATGTTTGACATCTTGAAGATTGGAAACTGCCGAAGAATTGTGATTTTTCGCAAGGATAACTCCTTATTCATTGAAATAATATGTAAACCAGGCAAACTTGATTGTTCAAATACGTGACGATAAAACGACTTCTTGTGGTAGTTACTGGGTGACCCATAAATACTAGCTCAACTCTTTCACTGACATGTTTATAGATAAACAACTCTCCCGGTGCCAGCTTTATTTTTAAATACACACAGTATAACTATTTACATCTCGCTTATTATTTAAAATTATTTTTCGTAGAAATATTATAAAACAAAACTCATCAACATGAAATGTTTTTAAGAGATAATTTCCTGAAACATTTCACAAATGATTATGTTCTCAGATCAAAAGAAGTGTTGTTGTTGTTGTTTGTTATTAAGCACAAAGCTACGCAAAGAGCTATCTATGCTCTACTCACCATGGGTATCGAAACCCGGTTTTTAGTAGTATAAGTGTGTAGACATGCCGCTGTAACACCTGAGCTGTAAAAGAAGTATTAAGTATTCGTGGAGTTATTTCAAAAATTACCAAGGTCATGAGCACCATTTATGATTTTTTAATTAACTACAAAATTATTTATTTTGTTCAACACATATTTATCTTACCCTTTTCTTGACATCAACCTTTCCAAGTCTAAAAAAAGCATCATATAATGTTATCTGGATATTTAAGTGCCAAAGTGTCTATGTCAGAGAATAAGTTGAATATTGAATAAACTTGTTGTTTGTTATTAAGCACGAAGCTACACAACGGAATATATGTGTTCTGCCCACCACGGGTATCGAAACCCGGTTTCTAGTATTGGATAAACTGACACTCACGACTGTGAAAAGGGAGGACTGAATATAAACGGAATAGCTTTATTAATATAGAAAGTTGACTATGGTCAAGACTAAATTTTTTGAAAAAAAGAGGGTTAGCTCAAATATCGAAATTTCGGCCCGATATTTAGGTAGTTTTTATGGTTAATAAAGCATCCGGTTTTAACCTATACTTCATTACAACTGTTTCCTTAAAGTAAAGTAAACCAGAAAAATATCTTCTTTTTTTCAATAAAATATTTAATTTCATTAAAAAATGTCGGTTGACTTTGATATAATTAAACAATAAAAATTCTAATGAGCCAGAAAAATTTTGATCACTGGATAGCGTAAATCTAGGAGACAAATTTTGATCACTGGGTAGCGTAAATCTAGAAGACAAATCTTGATCACTGGGTAGCGTAAATCTAGGAGACAAATATTGATCACTGGGCAGCGTAAATCTAGAAGACAAATCTTGATCACTGGGTAGCGTAAATCTCGGAGACAAATATTGATCACTGGGTAGCGTAAATCTAGGAGACAAATATTGATCACTGGGTAGCGTAAATCTAGGAGACAAATATTGATCACTGGGTAGCGTAAATCTAGGAGGCAAATCTTGATCACTGGGTAGCGTAAATCTAGGAGACCCTTCTAGTGTCACGGTAATAGTACGTTAAAAACAAAAGATCAAATAAATACAAGCAGACTTACCTCCCTTTGACATCATCCAGTCGTACCAGTAGACTGGCTGTTTCAAATACTGGGACAACATAGTTTTTCTTGAAGTGACATCAAGTGGCGTTTGTAAAAATCTGTTACAAGACACCATATATATATATATATTTATTTAATTATCTTGAATTATATATACATATAAAGCTATTAATATAAAGGTTTTATATAGAACAAACTGAGAGCGAACTAAAGATAATAATTACTTCAAATATTTTCAGTTTCTATTAAACACTCGGAGACAATGAAAAAAAGAAGAACAACATCTTAAGATTTATATATTTACTCAACTAAACGATTTCTGATTTTAAAAAAATCATACAATTTAAAACTATTTATCGTAGAAATATCATAAAATTAAATACATACCAATCGGACCCCGATGGCTCAGCTATAAGTATGCGTGCTTATTACTAAAAATCGGGTTTCCATACTGATAGTCCATTGTGTAGCTGTGTGTATAACCTCAAATATATGCATCGTAAGTCATTTGAAGTAACTTTCTTTCAGCCAAATGTAACCATTTCTTTTATACAGTTCATCGTAAAATAAAACTCGGCCATAACTATTAATTACTATGTGTTTATTTTGTCCCCTCCCGTCTGAAGAGCTCTAGATTGAGCGAAACGCGTCATCGGCAATGGATATAGAAAAATATAGTGTGGCTGGAATGCTATTATTATACACTCTTCTAACTCCTGAAAATCCCTAAGGGACGATATAATGAATGTATTGTTCAAAAATGTAATAGACTTAATACTGAGGTCTTATGATAAAATTAACTGTCTTATGACAAGTATAACTGTATTAATAACCTTAATTAAAATACTGTTCAACTGGAACATAAATGATACCGTGATAAAGTTGAAGAGAAAAGCTAAACTATTAGTAGAAGTGGCTTCATGGTCGTGATTTCGGTCATGAGATCCGAGGAGGTCAGGTGCACACTGTACCTCTTCCTTCCTATTAGTAGCATTGTTTGTTTGTTTTACTGAATTTCACGCCAGTCTAACCACAATTTCAAAGTGATAAATTAGGGTAAAGCAGCTAGCCAACTCTAGCCACCGCTAACTCCTTGGGTTACATTTTACCAATGAAACGTTTTTTTGTTGACTTTCACATTATAACGTCCCCGTAGCTGAAAGGACGAGAATATTCAGTGAGGAGAGCAGATTGCGAGTCGAGCGCCCTAACCTTCAGACCACGCAGGGCTACTTAGTATAATTCTGCTCTATTTACATTCTTACTCCCTGAACCAAGATAACATTTTACGTTATATTTATGTAGCAGGTCTAACGGCCCGCAACTAGAAGAAACGTTCAGATACATTTTAAAACCATGTTGCAAACCAATATTATGAAAATCATGTTGAGCTTTGAATTGTAAGCAAAACAATCTATGAGTCTCAAATAATCTCAGAAAAATTACATTTTAGATATTAAATAACTGAAGTAGAACTTGCTTTGTTTGTAAAATATATGTTTCATGAATCATAACATAAGAATAAATAACGATAGTCTTCAAAACTATCTGAAGCCGTGTAACCGGTTACAGTTAATGTAACGTAATACGACGATTTGGTTTGTATAAAACGTTTTTTATGAATTTTCCCCCATGTTTGACCATGTCATTCACCTCTAGAGTGGTCATTAATCAAATCGAGCCCGGCCAGTAATTAGCATGTCAGAGTGTGAAGCCGAGGTTTCGTGATTCACGTTCCGTTACCGCCAAAATATAAAATTGAACTGCATTCTGCACTTTTGGGCTATGGGTGCTTTATAACAGTGGCAATCAAATTCCACTATTCAGTCACGTTAACTGACATTAATCACGTTCAAGGACGGTTTGGACATGCTCTCACGTGACTCTATCTCCCGTCCATTCTCGCAGTTTTTTAGGTGTTTTCTTTTTCTTTTCTTATTTTGTAAGTTGTTTTATTTATCTATTTATTTTACTTTTCAATGCAAGTGATACGGGACAGGAAAGATCAACTTCTAGGAGACTGAATGATAACTTCGGTCTGCCCATACTTGCGAAAGCCGTTCGTAAATTTATAGTAATTTATTTCTCATCCTACCATTAGTCACGTGGTGCCCTTTTCTTTGGCGCCTCTCGTTTCACTTCGCGCTCAAGGAAAAAAGATGAGCCGCTTTTGATTATGTATGATCGAGTAACATAATCAAAGGAAGGAAAATGAGCCGCTTTTGATTATGTATGATCGAGTAATATAATCAAAGGAAGAAAGATGAGCCGCTTTTGATTATGTATGATCGAGTAACATAATCAAAGGAAGAAAGATGAGCCGCTTTTGATTATGTATGATCGAGTAACATAATCAAAGGAAGGAAGATGAGCCGCTTTTGATTATGTATGATCGAGGAACATAATCAAAGGAAGTTGGTATGCTTTTGTAGTTTGATCCAACTTAGAAGTGATTAATTTTTGAAGGGTAAGGGTCAAGGCCACAAAAATCCCTATCTATTAACGTGGGGACTGCTTTTTCACACTATTTTTGCACTATAACTTAGACAAAAATGATAGGATTTTAGTGAAACTTAGTGTCCTGCTAAAAATGGTGTGTGTCCGTTGATAACGATGGGCATACGGACACCTTTTTGTATATTTTGAGAGCCGAATATGGTCAACGTCGCGTAGCGGAAGTATGCTCTCTTCCGAGCGCCCCTCTATTTTCTGTATGTTTCGTCTTTGCGCGTGCTTGGATTGAATTTTAAGACATGATATTTTCATATTATTATTTTATGGTTGATGGCAATTTTCGCCCACTTACAGATGATGATGTTAAGTTCTTATTTTTTAATTATATGTTTATTCTTATCACTTTACATAAAAATACCTACACTAATAAGTTCTTAACACTATATTCATTTGTTTGTTTGTTTTGAATTTCGCGCAAAGCTACACGAGGGCTATCTGCGCTAGCCGTCCCTAATTTAGCAGTGTAAGGCAGCTAGTCATCACCACCCACCGCCAACTCTTGGGCTACTCGTTTACCAACGAATAGTGGGATTGACCGTCACGTTATAACGCCCCCACGGCTGAAAGGGCGAGCATGTTTGGTGTGACGGGGATTCGAACCCGCGACCCTCAGATTGCGAGTCGAGCGCCCTAATCATCTGACCATGCCGGGCCCACTATATTCATAACACGTTACTTATTATACATGTTTGTGTGGCAGATTCGTCACTGTCAACTACTGTGAACACTCGGCGAGATTCTTTAATGTTAACTATTTGTTATTTTAAGTTCCCCAGTGGGACAGCGGTAAGTCCTCGGATTTACAATGCTATAAACCGGGTTTCGATACCTGTAGTGGTCAGAGCATAGACAGCCCATTGTGTAGCTTTGTGCTTAGCTTCAGAGAAAACAAAATGAGTAAGTACAACATCAGATTTAAAAAAAACGGATTTACAACTCTAAAATTTGGGTTTCGATTCCCCTCGGTGGACACGACAGATGTGATTTGCTATAACAAAACACACACACACACACATCATTTTGAAAAAATTATGGTTATTTTTCTTGTGAAACCTGTAGTATTTGTAGAATAATCGAAGAATCTTTGTTTGGTATAATCAGTTCAAAATAATTAAAAAAACAATTATAGGTTTATTTTTTCGCCTTATACTATTATAGTTTCGTAAAAGTGATACAACAAACACAGTACTAACTCTTATGTGTTAACAATAAACACTACTAAATCCTATATGTTAACAATAAACATAGTACTAACTCCTACGTACTAACAACATACACAGTTCTAGTTTCTATATACTAATAAAGATACACAGTGCTAACTACCGTGTACTAGAAATATACACAATGCTAACTCCTATGTATTAACAATATACACAATGCTAACTCCTATGTATTAGAAATATACACAGTGCTAACTCTTATATACTAATAATATACACGGTGCTAACTCCTGTGTGCTAGAAATATACACAGTGTTAACCCATACACTAACGATACACACAGTGCTAACTGCTATATAATAACAATATACACAATACTAATTAATATATATTAATAATAATATACACAGTGCTAACTACCATGTATTAACAATATAGACAATGATAACTCCTATATTCTAATAATATGCACGGCGCTAACTCCTGTGTACTATAAATATACACAGTACTAATTCCTATATACTAATAATATACATTGTGCTAACTCCTGTATATTAATATTAGACACTGTGTCAACTTCTATATAATTAATAGCATACATAGCGCTAAATCTTATATATCAACAATATACACAGTACAAACTTCTATATAATGAAAAAGAGCGAACTCCTGTGTACTAACAGTACTAATTCCTACGCATTAACCTAATACAGAGAACCTTGATCTATTGCTGTCTTTCATACATTTCCTGGTTAGTAATTAACGTCCACGTTTAACCAAAAGAAAGTGTGATGAGAAACGTACTTCTTCCTATTCAAAACTCAGCCCCTGATCAGCCTAACACTACAGTTTTAATAAATACCAGCTTTCACCAAACCACGTGACACCATCCTTGGCAAACAATTCTATCCTATACAGTTTTATTTTGGGGGGAATATAAAAATGTTTGCTCTTCTGAACGACATTTTATGTTCACAATATGGCAAAACGGCCTATGATCTGGACATAGTAGTCCCTATTTTTGAGTGCTAACGGCAACAAGTCGGCACCCCCCGCCGCCTAAAGCGACAACTTAACCGAATAGCGGGATTGACTGTAGTTTTATAACGTATCAAAGTAGAAAGTACAAAACTTCTTTCGTAACATCACGTCTCGAATCTAAAATCTTCGGAACCCCCATCTGATACGCTAATCGCTAGGCCACATTCAAGCGAAAATAACAGAAAATTCAAATTTTCAGAAAAAAAACAAAGTCTTTGATTCTGAACGTGACTGTATTACTTTTTACGGAGGAGAATACAGCGTATAGTTGTAAAGAATACTATGGTTACTTAATGAACAAGAAAATGACCTGTATGGAATACCAGCTATTAGTAACTACTATAAATATAAGCAATGATTAAAACACTAACAAGGTTTGAGCTAGTAAATGATTTATTCCAGAAGTTTACACCAGAAACTTTTTTCTACGTGGTACTGAATTTAGAGCAACTCACCTTTTTCGTTTGCGAGCTGCTCGAAGTTTGAAACTTGTAGTAGGTCGCTCACTTCTAGAAATGTAGGGCACTAAGTCATGGAAGGTAACTCTGTCAGAAATTGCTGCTCTGGCTGATACCTTGTATAAAATAACTTGGTCTTGCAGTACACTTAACTAGTCGTCATCTTAGCTCAGAAGCTAAACCTTCTGAGTGGCTAGTATAGGTGTCATTCTTTGTTACGAGGCGTGGCTTAATTGGAAAAGCTTACGGCATGATTGTATCATGTATTTTAATCAGGAAAGAAAGGTCTTCATTAACCTTGAATAAAACAGAATTGGTGATCTTGATGTGTTATATTAACGGAGACGTATTGCTAACATCTTTAAAGCAGAATAAATTCCTTATTTTCAATTTTATTCAAGAACTTGTATAATCTTGGGTGGAAGAGAAGGAGGAGGAATAAATCCAAAAAGGGATTTAGCGAGTCAGATGTTACCTGTTTTTGTATTTTTTGGTGTTTTCAAGTCATCAGATTAAGAAAGAAAACATGCATCTCTACATGTTCATATTTATTAGCGCTTATCATTGTCATCACTTCATCTTATCGTCCCATGTAAAATAATACAGTTTTACACTGTCATCATTAAACATATGACAATGTTTTTTTCACCAATACTCATAAAACCCCATGGTCGGTCATGAAACATGCATTATGTTTATATACCTAAAATAAACCATTCATTGGGATTCAAAACTAATAACATCGTGTTAAAAATCCACTCATTAATTAATAAAGTTGTAACGAAGGGTAAATTTTTACCTTCGAAAGGTCGTTAACATTTAATGGAACGAAGTTTCGATTCGAACATTCGATAATACTAATTTGCATAATTTACTGATGATGTCACCATAACAACTAGTTTGCATTTGACTGAAAACCATTTTATTTTACAAGTAATCTACATAAATAAAATATAACATTTACATGTAGTTTGGAAATATATTATACAGAACAGTGATCATTTTTTATACTGTAAATAAAAGTAAAAAATAAAAACTAAAATCAAGTTATTTATATATTCGTATTTAATACTACATGTGATACTAAACCATACCATGTCCTCTACCATCTATAGTGATATAATTTCTGTAGTACAGTATTTAGTTTACACACTGTCATAACGGCAATACGTGGTTCACAGTGTCTAATATTATCTTCTTCTAGCCACCTCAGTCCTTTGTTATTTTGTTAGATGATGTCTTTTGTCCGCAAGGATATTTAAGTGTGTTTTAAGCCTGGATTAAATCTACATTGAAGTGGAACATCTTTTGCAAGCCAAAATATGACGTCAACCGCATCTGACAGCTGACCAATCGTGAGGTGACGCTGTCCGCTCTTCAAAGAAAACAATATTTGAAGTCCAGGCGTTTTTATTTTTTATTTTTGTATTTTTATATCAGTTTCGTTCCCAACTTTGCTGAAGCGAGACATTTTCGAAGTTAGTTCAACATTTTAGTGTTGAGGTAATCCATCTCGCGGTAAGGAAAACTTTAGTAATAACAGTCGTATAACTCGGAGTGAGGACTGTCTGTCGTCGCCCTCAGTTTCAGCCTTTTTTTGTTCAAAATAAGTGAAGATTTTTATCATTTTATTTAAAGTGTCTGGATTTTCTCACTTCCACTATTTTCAAGCTATATTCGAAAACTCGGTCTAATACTATCACGCGGAAATTTCACATAAAACACTGGGCGGAACCTGCTGTTACTCGCGGGTATTTCTATCGGAAAAACTTGTCGGGAAATCAGTTTAAGCTAAAAATACTAATAGCTACTTTTTGTAATCAAGCTTTGCAAGAGCGCCACACTAAAAGAACTGCAGCTGACTTAAGCAAAATAAATATATTTGAACAGTCATCATTCCAATTAATTTAGCAGTCATAGTCCTTTTAACATAAAATGGGTGGTTTATTAAATACAATAATAAATAAAATAGAACAATTAAACGTTCAATTATCAAATAAATACACACCTTCAACTACATAAAAAAGTCACAAGAGGGAGTATTATGATCAGCCTCGTATTTTATATGACGTTTTTTGTAATTAATTAAACATACGCTTTGGGTGTGTAGAGTTGCTCTGGTGATCCTTTTTCAACATTATAATTATTAGGGTTAACGTATAGTTTATGTTTCATACTTACTCTACCATATCACTACCTTTAAGTGATGTACACTAGGGCATTCAGTAGATTTTATTTAAGGAACCTAGCCACTAAACCGTAAACGTACCCCCCCCCCCCTGTGATCCACCATAATTATTTGCTCCAATATGCGGAAGAAGCAGCTACGTTAACTTTTAGGTGGTGTATGTGTTGTTTTTTTTTCTTTTAATAAAAAACTGTTCATTAAGTAATGGGCATTATAAAATTAAAACATTGAATTTTCCACGTGAATGTCATTTGTAGTGTGATTACTATTCAAACGGTTCCCGTTAACAAAAGAAGAAAAAATCTTGCACTGCTTGAAAGCCTCTGACAATCCTTCAAACGTTAAGAGCTCTCTTTAAATTCATGACTCACGAACTAACTTTCGAACACAGCTCTATTAATTAACTTACTACATCACAATTCGCATTTATGTTTATTTATTTGTTGTCAGGCACAAAGCTACAAAATGAGCTATCTGTGATATACCATGAGTATCGAAACCCGCTGAGCTACTGGGGGTGGGGTATTTATATAAATCACACAGATAGATTTTAACATTTGCATTTCTGTATTTGAAAATATTTTACCCTTTCGACAAGATATACAATTCAACTAATAGTCTAGGGTTCCTATCCTTACTGATTACACAAAATTTGGCCCAAAATTCGCATGTTTTGTGACCGTTTTAATTCATTTTAAAGTATTGATTAAAAGGTTTGTTTATCATATTTGTATTTCTTGCGCTAGTCCGCTAAAAATAATATTATTATGCAAAACGGAGGATTAGGGATATATTTCGTCTTCCAGTTTAAATATTTCAAAGAATTAAAAGATGTGCCTTGAATTAATTTATTTTGACCTCAGTATATTTGATATAATGAAAACCCACACGTTCTACTCAATAATAAGGATAACTATTAAAAAAAAAGTTGCAAGTTCTTAACTCGTGATTTGAGGGAAGTTCTACAGATGCCGAGAAAGCCAACCATTGATGTGTAAGACTGCATAGTAATTGGATGTAGTAATTATGCAATAATGGTGAAATAAAATCGAATCAGTGTACCAAAAAAAAAACTACGAAAATTTAATCCAAAAATATTTTTCAGAAAACACATAAATGTCAAGTGTTTATTAGCTCAGAAAATTGACTGTTTTTTTTTTTATTTATCGCAAATCTACACAACTCGAATGTTGTTTTTTTATTGAAAAACTGCACAACTTAGGTGTTGGCTTTTTATCGCAAACCTATACAACTTGACTGTTGGCTTTTTATCGCAAAGCTGCACAATTTGACTGTTGACTTATTATCGCAAAACTGCACAAATTAAGTGCTGGCTTTTAATAAGAAAGCTACACAACTTGACTGTTGATTTATTATCGCAAACTGCACAATTTGACTGTTGACTTATTATCTGAAAATTGCACAACTTGACTGTTGGCTTTTTATCTCAGAACTGCACAACATAAGTGCTGACTTTTTATCGCAAAGTTACACAACTTAAGTGTTGGCTTTTTTTTACTGCAAGGCTGCACAACTTGACTGTTGGATTTTTAATACAAAGCTGGCCAACTTGACTTTTGGATTTTTATCGCGAAGCGGCACAATGGTCCATCTGCGCTCTTTCCACGCGAGGAATCGAGCACCAGATTTTGGCGTTGCAAGTCCAGAAACCACTCAGAAAATACCTGATGTAATACAACATAGCTATTGCAGTGACAGCAGCAATCGGGCAAATCTTAGTGATTAGTGCTTTGGATTTCGTTCATTTAATTTCTGAATTTAACATAAAGGTTAAACTACTTGGTGTATTACAAAAAACTAATATAATAAACTATCTTTTTTCTTATTTAACAGTTACTCAAAAAAATAGCTGAATTTTAAATTCGCCATCACTTTCTTTGTAAATGGGTATTTTATATAATGATATGATTCAAATTCTGTCACTTTATTGAACGCAGTACGACTAGTTAATTGAAAAATCACAAGATAAAATAGCAGAGACGAATTAGATAATATCTAGTAAATGGAAGCAGTCTAAAATTTAGTTTATACACTACGTTGTCAAAAGCATCCTGTTTTCACTTGAACTTGTGTGAGAGTCTACATAGCATACAATGAACCCCCTCCAGTGGTTCAGCAGTAAGTCTGCAGGTTTACGACACTGAAGTTCGAGTTTCAATAACCATGTTGGGAAGAGCATTCTGAAGTCTTGCGCTTAACAACAACCAAACCATATAATGAGTAGGAGCTATAAATATAGAAAAATATCATATAGATAGATTACTAGTGCTGAAGTTTATGCAAGGAGTTAAAACGTAGTGAATTACGTGAATTTAATAAAAAGATATGCAGTTCATAATGTTGAAAATTAAAATATGAAATATCCAAAGATCTTGGCCACACGCAATTTACTGTTTATTAAATGGTATTGGGAACCTAAAAGTGCAACATTTTAAAATCTATCTGACCACCCTAAATTGCTGTTTCGGCTTGACAAATGACCGCTTGTAAGGATTGTAAAAAATTGTGAGAAAATATATTTGTAATAAATTTACTGTGATTACATGTGAACGACTACTCTCTATGAGGCCGATGCACTGTACTCTCTATTAATTCGGTACCATCTGTAAGGCCTATACAGTGTATTATAAATTAATTAGATACCGTCTTTGTGGTATATGCATTGTTTTCTCCATTAATTGGTACCATTTGTGAAGCTTATGTACTGTATTCTCTATTTATTGGAGTCCTATGAACTCTATTATCTATTAACTAAATACCATCTTGGCTTATGCACTGTTTTCTCCATTAATTAAGTACAGTCTTTGATACTTATGCATTGTATTCTCCATTAATTAAGTACCGTCTTTGAGACATATGCACTGTTTTCTCTATTAATCGGGTACCATTTGTGAAGTATATGAAGACTATT